CGGCAGGTAGCCCCTGGTGTCCCGTCCTGGCGCCCCCGGGTCGGCAGGTAGCCCCTGGTGTCCAGCCCTGGCACCCGCCTTTCCTGCCTCTTTCGTGTGTTGTCCCCACCCTGAGATCGTAAGCTCTTTGAGGAGAGGGACTGCTTAAAAAAACCATTAAATAAAACCGATTGTACCCCCAGTGCTTAGCAGCAGTAGGCGCTTAATAAATGTTCATCAGATTGGATTCTGGGCAGAGAGTGCCTCTTGGGGGGCGGGGCGTGTGCATGATTTCGTCCAGCTGGCTGGAGTCAGAAAGCTTTCACTCTGAGGCTGCTGAGGTGTTGGAGTTGGCATTTACTGGGTGATCACGTGGGAGTCTTGCGTTTTTGTGGTCACTGGGAAATGTGCAGGATTTGGCCGCTTTTCCTCCTCCTTTCTCGCCTTGGTTAAATTTCTCCTTTCATTGGATGAAGAAACATTGTCTTGAAATTTCTTCCATGATGTTCAGAAGGAAGGAAGGTAGTGAGAGGCTGGGCCTGGAGATTAGACCGGAGACAGGAAGAACTGGCCAAGTGGACAGAAAGTCTGAGGGAAGGCTCTTTGGTTCCTGAAGCCGAGACTGTCAGAGCTGGGAGGGAGTTAGAACAGGGGGTGGCAAGGCTGGGAGGGCCCTTAGAACAGGGGATGTCAGAGCTGGGCAGGGCCTCAGAACAGGAAAGATCAGAGCTGGAGGGGTGGGCACTTTCAGATTGAGTTCAGCCATCTTTTCATTTCACAGATGGGGCTCGGAAGGGAAGTGATTTTCCCAAGGACACAGGGATTTATCATTGATAAGACATATAATGATGAAAAAGAGTTTTGTTCCCAGAGACACTTCTCTGTGTGAGTTTTCCCTCTCCGGTGCCTGAGAGGTTGGTTTTGTGAATTGCTGTGGCCCCGGATCTCCCTCCCCAGGTGGTTGCCACCATCTGGTGCTGAGCTTTTCTCCCCTTGCCGGGCTGTTCCTTGGCCGGCTCACTCGGTCTGTCCCTTATGTTTGAGGCCTTTCCTGACCTGCCAGAGCCTGGGCTTCCCGGGCAGAATCTTCTAGAGGCGGCGTCACCTCAACCATGGTTTGGTGTCAGAGGAAGTCATCCATAGATATCTTCTGTGATATTTCCTCGTGGAACTCTTTTTGATTTGCCAAAAGCCAACATGACACATTAAATTCTCCCAGAGAGATGCTTCCTGTGAAGGCCCTGCTGAAGGGAGGATGACCCCAGCTGACTCTTAGGCCAGAGTGTGCCCTCCCCTCTCCCATGGTATGGTGCTTTGGATGGAGGGATGGAGGGTCCGGCCTCCTCAGCTCTGCTCCTTGCTCCTTAACTGAGGTGCTGAGCAGCAGATGTTAAGGCCTCCAGGAAAATTGCACATGCCAGGTGGAATTCCCACTTTCCAGTTGTGACGCTGTGTCAGCTTCTTTGGACCACAGTGCCCTCCTGTGTGACATGGGGAGGTTGGGCTTGGCCTCTGAGGGCCCTTCCAGCCCAGGACCCCTTTAAAGCCCATTGTGCTGAGAGAGAGAGAGAGAAGGAGAGAGAGATAGAGACAGACGGGGGGGGAGAGAGAGACAAAGAGGGGGAGAGAGACAGAGAGAGAGAGAGAGAGGGAGACAAAGAGGGGGAGAGAGAGGGAGGGAGGGAGGGAGAGAGACAGAGAGAAAGATTGATTGTGTACTTAGCCTGAGTTGGCCCCATTTCTTCCTTGGGTCAATGGTCTGATCAATGCCAATTTTCCCTTCTCAGCATTTATAACAGCTGAAGCTCAGCGTCTCTAGGTTGGCCAGTCATAGAATTAGCCTGTTTGTTCCTGTTTACTCACCAATGTTATTGTTACTGTGGTTTTGTTTTGTTTTTTTTCTGTCAAGTCAGAAGTCAGGGAAAATTGGGGAGGCTGATGAATTACTGGTCACAGAACTGAAAGGACTCTCAGAGAGGCTGAATCTGGTGCAGCAGCTGCCTAGGGATCCTCCCGACACCGTTTCTGACAGCCGGTCATCTAGCCTTAGCTTGAAGACCTCCAGTGATGGGGAACTCACTACCTCATGAGATGGCCCCATTCCTCTTCTTCCTTTGGACCTCTCTGTTCAGGATTTTTTTTTTCCCTTTCATGAAACCAATCCAGTGTCTGCTTCTCTGAAATCCTATCTCCCCATCTCCTCCCCCCACTCCCTGTTTGCTTCTGGTTTTACCCACTTGGACCAGGCAGAACATGGTAGCCCTCCACCAAGCCTCTATTAAGCACCTGCTGTGTGCCAGGTGCTGGGGATGCAGTGGCCTCAGTATCTCCTGCCTGCTGAGATGAACCAGCTCCTCGGGCCAGGTATCTGTGCCTCTGCATCAGTCATGGCTGAGGTCGTGTTTGGCGGTTGCTATGGCAAACATTGGTCAGGGTGGTTGAGGGTTCCAGTCGTCATCCCTGGCTGACGTCCTCCGGCACCGGGGCAGACGCTGGGCTAGAGAGGCCGGGAAGCCCAGACCTGCCCTCCAACCTTCCCACCCCTTTCTTTTGGTCCTTGCTCTCTGTATTCAGGTCAAAAAAAGAGGGACAAAGAGGGCCAGGAGGCCTGTTTCTAAATGAGACCAGCTGGGTTTCAGGGAGGTGTCTGTTTGTCTTTAAATAGAAATGTTATCCCATGGACATGGCAGAGATTTCAGAGCTGGGAGATTGATTTCCAAAAAGTAAAAATAGCCAAGTGCAATGAAGGCCCAGCAGCCAGGGACTTGTGAAGGGCTGGCATTGTGTTGTCCCTGATCTGGGGAGGTGGCCGTGCTGGCCCTAGGCGAGCCCTGGACGGCAGCCCCAAGAGCTGGCTTTGAACTCTGTCCCTGGCCTGCCGTCCCCTTCAAAATGAGAGTCATACACCTGTCCTCTCTGCCTCTCAAGGGTTGGGGAGACAAAAGGAGAAAACCCACGTGAACTATGTTACTAGCCATGGGCAGAAACAGAAGCCCTGCCACCGCCTTCCCCTGCCCAGCTGTCCAGGCAAGTGTCCTAGTGCCCAGGTCTGCTCAAGAAGCCCCAGGGGCTGCTGCCCACCCTTCTAGGCTGTCTACTCCCTGCTCCCTCACCCGGTGACCCCTGTCACTGGAATCTCCTTGCTCACTGCCCCTCAGAATCCCTAACTTCTTGTAGTTTTTACAGTTAATGATCAGGCTCTCTCCCACCCCCTCTTCACTGCCATTGGAGGACCTTTTAAAGGAATGCCCATGACTCCTCAGCAGCTAGAGCCCTGTGCTGACTTTGGGAATGATCATCTGCTTGTTTCCCTCAGCAGATCGGAAGCTCCAAGAGGGCAGGGGCTGATGTCCCCCGCTCTGACAAAGAATGCACTGAGCTCTTTGAGGCGGAGGCCAGTCTCCCCCCATGCTCTGCATGTCGTGGGTGCCTAATGAGTGCTTTTTAATGGATGGATTACTGCCCTAATTCCTTGCATTTGTGAGGGATTTCTGTGTCTTATTCACACAGGGTTGGGGGGGGCTTGCTCCCCCCCCCCCCCAAACCCCCTAAAGAGATTCTTTTCCTCCCCTGCAGATGTCGTCAACCTGGACCTCAAGTCTACCCTGAGGGTTTTATACAACCTGTTCACCAAGTACAAAAACACTGAGTGATCCTGGAAGCTGCTGAAATATTCATCCCCGATGTCTCCTTGAAGGGAAGCCAAGCCTTGGTCTCCCCTATGTGCCTTAGTGCAGTTTGCCTGCCTCTGTGATGCTGCAAGATTTCCCGCCTCCTCTTTGGGGTAGTCTGAAGCCCTGTCTCCTTGGTGCTAGGGAGTAAAGCCCTCTGGAAATGATGAGTCCGGGGCCGGGGGGGGGGCTCCCCACCTCGGACGCTGGATCCCCTCCTGCTTTGCTCTTGGGACAGATAACTAGCTCAAATGGATCTCAGCAGAGGCCACCCAGCCTGTTCTAGGATGGAGCCGTAGGCTGAGGTCCGTCCATCCAAACTCCCTCGCGCTGTCCTGGCTTTCTGACTGTCTCTTGGACTGGAAGTCCCTTTAAAACCTTTGCTTTCCAGTAAAAATGGGCTTTGCATTTTCTTTCTTTCCACCCTCCCTTTCCTTTCAAAGAATATCTTAAACTATTTATAAGAAACTCTTGACGTTTCCTCTCTCGTCCTGTGAATGTTTGGCTGCCCATTTTACGTGACGTGAACCACACGCCGAAGGGGCGTGTGACAGATGGGCTGCAGAGCTCGCCAGCCTGGGAGCTGGCAGAGTAAGGGGCTTCTTCCAGCTGTATCACTTTGGGCAAGTCATTTCCCCATCACTGGGCCTCAGTTTCCCCAACTGTCAAATGAAGGTGGGTGAAAGTAGACCCTGGGCCATCTAGTCCAGCTCCCTCATTGTATAAACCAAAACACAGACTCGGAGAGTCCGAGAGATCTAGGATGACAGGATAGTAGATTTGGAGCTGGAAGAGAGGCACCCCCCCCATTCCAGCCCCCTCATTTACAGATGGGGAGCCTGGGCAATGTTTAGTGACTTTTTAGCATGACACTGATAATGAGAATCAGAGGCAGAATTTGAACCTGGGTCCCGCTCTGGCCTCCTTGAGTCTGTGACTTTCTGGGTGTCCTATTTGCAATTGCATCCATCTTTATTTTTTTAAATGACTTTGTTTTCTGAAGCCTCATTGTGGGAGGGGATGCCAATTGTCCATTTCCTCTCCTACACTGCCCAGAGGCTGGATTCGGGCTTGACCCTGGGATCCTGTTAATGGGAGGAGGAGGGGGCGATGGTCAGAGTGGTCCAGCCCTTGAGCTTCTGCTGGAATTGTGTGCCCCCTCTGGCCTCTGCTCCAGCCAAGCTGCAGGGTTACCCATTGGCCATGACCTTGGAGGGCTCTTGGCCCCACCACTGCCTCCTGCTGTGGCATCCTGGGTAAGTTCCCCACCCTTCTAAAGCTGTTTCCTTGTCTGTGATGTCAAATCAACCAGTGGGCATTTATTAATCACCTGCTGTGTGCCAGGCGCAGTGCTGGGGCAGGGCACAAAGAGTTGAGGGAAACAGTCTCTGCCCTTATGGGGTTTATGATCTACTCTGCACTCCTCCATTCAATTTAACAGGCATTAGTTGCCTGCTGTGTGCCTGGCACTGTGCTGAGTTTGGAGGATAGAAAGCAGAAAGAAAAGACAGTTCCTGTCCTCAAGGAGCTTACATTCTACTGGACACCCAACAAACATTTACTGAATTATGTCCCCAAACCCTGGGGTAGGGAAAGATACAAAGACAAATGGGAAATAGTTCCTGCCCTCCTGTGCCCTTTCTGACTCCCTCCCCTTTGCCCCCTCCCCCTTCCCCAGCTTGTAAAACTGAGATGAGAATGTCCAGGAGATGGGGTAGCCCAATGGATAGAGCCCTGCTTGGAGGTAGAGAGCTGAGGTTCTGAAGCCTCTTGCTTCCTGTGTGAGCTTGGGAAAGTCCTTGCCTCTTTCCTGTGCCTCAGTCACCTCTTCTGTTAAAATTAGGGGATTGGTGGCAGTGGGCCCCGAGGTACCTGCCCCTTCTGTCCCTTTGTGCCCTCACTCGGCCCCCAGGGGGAGATCACCTTTCCTGCCTCCATCTGTGCTCAGTGGTTCTTCCCGTAAGCCACCTGTTGGAAATAGGACACCAGAGCTGATGTTCTCAGAAATCCTTTCCCTTGTCCTTGTCTCATCATCTGGGCCAGAACAGCTGGTGAGGAAGGCAGTGTCCCAGCAGGGGTAAGAAATCATTAACCCTGGTACAGTGGCTTCTCTTGGGGGACACTGTGACATTCAGAGGCCACAGCGATGGAATCGTCAGGTCAGAGCACCCTGTGCCTTCTGCAGGACTTGCCCAGAGCCTCTGAAATCTGACTGTAGACCCCGGGGGCTCACGCTGGCCTTCAGTGAGGACTTGGGAGATAGGGGCTCAAATCATCCCCTGGTGCTGGCATTTGGCCTTCATTTGTACCCAGAGAGCCCGGGCAGCTGCCCCCAGCATCCAAGCAGAAACTGGACATGCAGAACATCAGAGCTGGAAGGAATCTGACGGATCCTCTGGCCTAACCCTTTTACATGGGGGCAAAGAGGCCAGAGAGGGGATGGGACGCACTTGAGGCTGTAGTGACGGGGGCTACTGGGACTAAACCCAGTTCTCCTGATGTGCAGGCCCAGGGCTCTTTACATTTTACCCTGTGTAGAGACTGCTAATGTCTGATCAGAGGACTGGAGAAAAGGGAATGTCAGAATTGAGAGGGTCTTAGGGATGACAACTGGGAGGGGCCTGAGAACAAGGGATGGCAGAGCTGGGAGGGGCCTGAGAACAGGGGATGGCAGAGCTGGGAGGGGCCTGAGAACAGGGGATGGCAGGGCTGGGAGGAACCTCATAATCTGGCGAACTACAGTCCCAACATGCCTAGTCTAAGTGACCTTAGATTTGTGATCAAGAGCTTTGGATACTCTCACCTTAGTCCGGACGTCTGGATGACGACAGGAAGAGTGACTAAATCCCCGGCAAAAACACATTCGCTTGCCTAAAGACCCTGCGGTTTGTCTTTGCTTTTTAAAATTAAAGGCATGAAAACAGTTGCAAGGCATATGTCTGCTACTCAATGGACAAGCATTTCCCCAGCTGAGCCTAACAGCAGCTCTGATCCCGTCCTTGTCATTCTCAGGAAGGTGCATTATTGAAATCGGGGCTGGGCTGTGCTCAAAGCTGGTGGTCTCCCTCTCCCCCCCCCCCCAGTAGTAGAGTTCAGGTTCTGATTAAATGTTTAACGCACGGGGAGATGTTGCTTGATGCATTCCAAATGCTGCTCCCAAGGTAGCCTTCTTCATCTGGTTCTCTGAGATGTTTCTCACCCTGCCCCATACCTGCTCATGCCTATCAGTTTGATCAGCATTGCACCCCAAAGTTTCTTCCTTGGAATTGCTTAGAGGCTTCCCTGCTGTCACTCTTCTCTTTCAGGCCTGAGTGTTGCCTTAGTAACTAGATGTACAGTTTCTTCTGGGCTCCTTGGCACATCCCAGGATTCATGACTTGAAAAGGACCCTAAACACAATTTTCTTTGATGGATGAGGAATCAGGACCAAGGTCTCATAAGTAATAGTAGTTGAGCCAGATTGAGAGCCCTGATTGTTGATTCCCTAATCCAAGGCTCTTTCTGGAGGGTCCCTGTGCCCCTCGTCCTCCATTTTTCATTTAAAGCCCTGTCGTTGAAGTGAGGAAAGCAAACACTTGGTTCTGGGTAGGTGTCAGTCCCTAGCCACATGAGCCCACTATTCCTTAAACATGGGCCTAGATCTGGAGCTGGGAAGGAGGTCAGAAGTCATCTTGTCCAGCCCTTTGTAGAGGAGGAAGCAAGCAAACCAAACAACCAAACAAAAAATATTGAGCCTTTATTCACCAACATCTAACCTCTGGGCAACTGGATTTAGGGTCAAAAGAACTGGATTGGCTGTCTTGGCATCTCAGCTAGCAGGATGACCTCATCAGAATCCCATCACCTCTCTGGGCCTCAGTTTCTTTGTCTTTATTATGAAAAGACTGAACAAAAAAGAGGCAGTGTGAGCTGGTGGGAAGATCACTGCCTCTGGAAGGAGACAACCTGGGTTCAAATTCCTCCACTCCATTTCCCTGGGCGTCACTTTCCTCTTCTGTAAAATGGGCAGAGGAATGGTCTCTGAGACCCCATGTAGTTCTAGGTCAATGATCCTGTGATTTGTGTTCTCTAATATCCTTTCTACCTCTTATTCTGTTCACCACCCATTACTTCCCTTTTCTTCTGTAGTCCCAACCTTTAATTAGAAGGAATGATGAAAACGTCACATGTCTCTCATCCTCCAGTGTTGTGCCCTCAATTTTAATCTTCTGTTTCCAGTGTAAGGTTCCAGCTCAGTGAAGCTATTAAATTTACAATTTATTATTCTAAAAGTAGCTCATACTTATCCAGCACTTTAAGGCTAATGGAGAATTTCTTCCCAACAATGCTGTGATGTTATCCCTTCGACTTCAGGGGCCTGTGGTTTCCTTTGTGCCTCTCCTTCCTCCACTAGTCAGATGCCAGTCCCACTGGGTTCACTATTTCATGAATAAGCATGACCTGAAAAGTCCTTACTGGTGGCCAGCTCTGAGGACAAGTCATCCTGTCCCCAGGGATGCTGATCCTCAGACTAAAGACATACAGTCCATTGCCCAGCCCACATCTGAAAGTTCTGTAGCTTGGAGAGCAACCCACCCAAGCATTCATCCATTGGCATAACCTTTGGGAGCCTCTGTGGCATGTTGAGTTATTAGATGGGTTCTCTGATGGAGAAAAGAAGGTAAATTACAAACATGGCAGCTGGATATGTTCTAGTTGGTTGCTATAGGTAGAGCAAGGAGGAAGGGGGGCAAGTTACTGGGAAGCCCATGTGGGCTCAGTAGAAGGACCACCTTCAGAAAAGCTGGAGCTGTCCAGCGTTGGAAAGGCTTCCGCAGAGGCTGGGTGACTATCCCACCAGAAAAAATATTGAGCTTCATCCTTACCCAGGCAGGGGGTGACCTCTGAGATTCTTTCTAGCTCTGAGATTCTGGCATTCAGTCACAGCTGTAGCAGCTGAGATGAGGAGCCCCAGTTAAAACTTTGATTATAATTGACCCTGCCCCTTCCTCTCTCTCAACCTACCTTTGGTGACTATGAGGAAATCTGGAAACACTGCTGTTAAGGTGGGATGTGGGCTTTTCTGTGTGCTGTTTACTCTCAGAGAAAGGAGAGGCCTCTTCCATAGCTGTTGAATAAAACAGGAAGGAAATTTTACCCCTGGCATCCCACCATCATACGGATGAGGAGGCTAGGGATGTTTGAGGTGAGAAGGGGATACTCTTCACCAAATGTTCTGAGTGGACATTTCCCCTCATTGTTCTGAGGCAAGATCTTGAGCACCTCATAAGCATTTAATAAACGCTTTTTCATTTATCCATTCAGGAAAGAGGAAGGATATAAAGCTCTTACTTAAAAAAGCCTTCCTCTCTCCCTCCCTTTCTCCTTTGCTTCCTTCCTCCCTTCCTTTCTCCTTTCCTTCCTTCTTCCCTCGCTCCCTCCCTTCCTTCCTTTCTTCCTCCCGCCTCCCTCCTTCCCTTCTTTCCTTC